GCTGCTTTCGTTTGTTTCGACTTATCAGAAATTCCTATGAAAATATTATAAAATTAGTAGATCAGTTTCAATACCATACAGCATATCCAAGCATAAACTGTCACGACGTCCTTGAATTTCATGGTAAGAAATGTAAGTTTTTTTAACTATGGAACGAAAGCATTATACATATTTTGCTTATTTCAAATTAATTTTGATGTGGTCTACTAAGAAACCAAGTTTTTTTCAAAAGTAATAGTTGTATTCAAAACCAACGATTAAGTTTCATACAGACGACACTTATATTCTTCGTCATATAATCTATCTACTGTAGTTCGCTAGTCAATGTTGTTGCGATTATACCTTCTAGAAGAAATATCAGCATGCGCGACTACAACATCATCTCGGTATCGTAAAGACGAAATTGAACAGATCAGTGACGATGACGACAATCTTTCAGAGCTGGATTTAAGTAAAGACTCTTCGGCTCCTGGAGAAATGCTTTTTCTGGTTCACCTTATATTATCAAACAATGACAAAGTAAGGAATGCATAACTTGCTCTTGCCATTTAAACGAGCAAAGATGTTTTATTTTCACATTTTCTTGCAAAAAGCATCGTAAGTGATTGATATCCTACATATGTTTGGGGAAGATGAAATACTCTCCCTGATAGTCCACTTTTCTATATTACAATTCGACTGATTATTGAACGAATTCGTTTGATTAAATGAAAAGGTTAATGCATGTTTTGTTTTCATCGGGAATTTAAATCAATCGCTTTCACCCTATTTTGTCTATTTCGAAGCTCTAATAATTTACCATAATCTTTTTATTACTGTCTATATTATAATATACAAATTGCGTTGCAATAAAGGAACAAAGAACATATGACCTTGAGTACATACCAAAACGAAAAAATCTGTCTTTGGAACTTTGAAGTATGAATCAAGCATGATGAGATACAATACTTCATTTGATACCTGCCGATGTTTCCTCATATTTTAATCGTGTTTCGAAGTGCCAAAATCATGCTCTTTATCCTTGAATTATGGCCATCATTTTGATTCTATATCTTTAATGCAGAAAACCGTTAAGCTCAATCTTTCACAAAATGAAATCGACGATGAAGAAATAAAAGACTTTAGTGAAGCATTACGAAAGAATAAGGTAAGGAAAATATTCGTGTGACACATTTTATACTAATGATTTCTGCAGTACAGACACTTACAATACTCAACCTTTCCTGGAATCAAATTGAATGTGACGGAGCAAAATATCTAAGTAACGCTTTACGAGCGAATAAAGTGGGAAAAGTATTTTTCAATCTCTATCATATTGATGTTCTTCTTTTATGCAGACACTTACCACACTCAATCTTTCGTTCAATCAAATTGGGGCTGAAGGAGCACAATATTTAAGTAAAGCGTTACGGTCTAATACAGTGAGAGAAATACTTTTTTCGACAGTCTCATACTAATGTTTTCTGTTTCGATGCAGACGCTCAGAATACTCAACCTCTCTAAAAACCAAATCAAAGACCAAGGAGCACAATATTTGAGTGACGCATTAAGATCTAATACGGTGAAAAATGTTTTCTTCTCACCTTTCTCATACTAATGGGTTTTTCTTCAATACAGACGCTTACGGAACTAGTTCTATTAAATAATAAAATCGGAGATCAAGGAATCCAATATATGAGTGATGCATTACGATGGAATACAGTGAGTCAACTATTCTTCCGATCTAGTTATACTAATGATTCTTCTCCAATGTAGTCGCTTACAACACTTGATCTGTCCTTAAATCCAATTCGGGCCAAAGGTGCGCAACACCTACGTGATGTATTACGAACAAACACGGTACGAAAAATATTCTTTTCATCTGTTTCATTATTATTCACTTTACTGTGACAGACAATCACTAAACTGGCTTTATACAGGACTCAGATCCACAGTAAAGGAATACAATATTTGAGCGATGGATTGCGATCGAACAAGGTAAAAAATTGCCCTTCTAACTTGTCTTATAACGTTGCTTTTACTTTGATCCAGGCACTTACTATACTGGATCTTTCTGACAATAAAATCGAAGATCAAGGAGTCCAGCATCTGAGTAATGCAATTCGAGTGAACACGGTGAGAAAAATCTTCTTTTGATTTGTGTTATACGTGTTTTTGATCGTCGATGCAGACAATCACTGAACTAAATCTAAGTGCAAATTCAATCGAAGACGACGGAGCAAAACATTTGAGTGATGCACTCCAATTAAACACAGTAAAAACGGAAGTGTTTTCAACTGTCTCATACTCTTAGCTTTATTTCGATATAGACACTTACTACACTCGACCTCTCTTGCAATGGTATCCGGGATAAAGGAGTGAAATATCTCAGTAATGCATTACAGTGTAATAAGGTAGGAAAGTGTTCTTTTAATCTGTCTCATACTAAAGCTTTTTTTCGATGCAGGGACTCACTACACTTGACCTGAGTGTAAATTGGTGGAAAGATTCAGGAATACTATATATAAGCAATGCATTACGATTAAATACGGTGAGAACAATACTTTTTTGAAGTGTTTCATCGGATTTTTGTTGTACAATGTAGACTCTCACTACGCTTCATTATAGTCTACATAACATGAGCAATGAAAAAGCACAATATCTCCGTGATGCACTACAAATGAATAACGTGAGAAGAATCCTTTGTTCGATCTGTTTCATAACGATGTTCTCACTCCGCTACAGACACTCCGTATGCTACATCTTGTCTTCTTCGAAATCGAAGATAAAGCAGCACAACATCTAAGTGATGTTTTACGATTCAATACAGTAAGGATAGTACCGTTTTGACGTGTCGCATAATGATCTTTATTGTACGATGTGTAGTCACTTACTACGCTTTGTATGAGTTCACATGATAGCCTAAGCGACGGAGGAGTACAACATCTGAGTGATGCATTACAAATGAATAAGGTGAGAAGAGTTCTCTTCTGTCTTATTCCATACAGATATGCTTACTTCGATGTAGACACTTGACACACTGGGCCTCTGCCACAATAGAATCAATGAAGAAGGAGCGCTATATCTAAGCAATGCATTACGATTCAATACAGTACGGATAATACTGTTTTAACGTATCTCATACTGTTCTTTGTTGTATCATATATAGGCACTCACTACGCTTTCTGTGAGTAATAATTTCATACGCGATGGAGGAGCACAACACTTGAGTAACGCATTACAAATGAATAAAGTGAGAAGAGTTCTCGTTTGTATTGTTTCATACAGATATTTTTACTTCGATGCAGACACTTAGTACATTAAATCTCTCTTTCAATGGAATTGGAGATGAAGGAGCACAATATCTAAGCAATGCATTGCGATTGAATAGAGTAAGAAAATACTCTTTTGTCCTGTCTTATATTGATATTTCTACTTCGATGCAGACACTCAGTATACTAGATCTCTCCTCCAATAAAATCGGAGATAAAGGAGCACAACATTTAAGCGATGCATTACAAATAAATAAGGTAAGAAATGTACTCTTTTGTTCCTTATTATTCTGTCTTTTCAACCTCAATGTAGACACTCACCACACTTAATGTCTCAGACACCCTTATTGGACCTCAAAGTAAAGAACATTTGAAGAAAATATTAAAGAAAAGAGAAAAAAATCATGATGTACAGTGAGGTTATAGTTGCTTAAGTATTGTATGATTTGTGCTTATATTTGTGATCAGTATAAAAAGTGTTTTTCATAACAATATATGAATAAATGAAGTTATTGGCGATTAACAAATTTCTAACGCATCTTGTAAAGGGTGTCTAAGAAATCCACATCCGTTGTACAGAAATTAACGAATGTTGCTCTATAAAATGTGATCCATGTTATATGGATCTTCCGGTCAGGTGAGTGTCATCGAAAACTACCACAATCTAGATTTCACATCAGTTTACATGAATCATCAAGTGGCATATGATCTGCAATAAATTCAATTTTTCAATTAAGAGGATGTGGGTGTGGGTGTGGGTGTAGGTGTGGGTGTGTTAGCAGAGAAGACTTTAAAGAAAGTCAAATCAAATAGCTAGCAAGACCGGTTTCGACAAGTGCTGAAGAAGTACTCATCAATTGCTTTTTTGATTTTGAATAATATATTTTTCTCCTACTGTAATTGAAACAGTCAGAAGTTAAAATAAGGGTGTGGGTGTGGGTGTGGGTGTGTCAAGCTACCATGATCGATTTCGACCTTGCTTAAGGGTCTTATCAAATGGCTTAAACCAATCTGAATTCGAAAATCCAAATTAGCTAACAAAATTTCAATGTTACTTCGAAAAGTAATCAAAATTTCATTCGACAGTAGTGTGTCAAGCTACCATGATCGATTCTTACTTTCGTTAGTTGTAGTTTGTGTTTTTTAGATTAATCTAGAAGTGAAATCAGATGTATATATGATTGTGCGTAAATCAATTGGAAAACAGATCGACTTATATTTCTATAAATACAAATCAATCTGCTAGTCTCAACTCTTGCTTTTCAGCAATCGATTTTCTGTCGACAAATTAAATTTGAATTGAATGAATATAAATATGCTTGAATAAAAATTAATTTAAAAGAAATGCAGATTATTTTCGCCGACGCGTTTCATGTTTATTTTATTGAAATAATAAAACACTCATCAGGGCTCTGCATTACATTAAAAGCAAAAACTAATTTTAAAGATAAAAATTAAAAATTAAGAATTAAGAGGCACAACAAACTCAGAAGAAAATGAAAATTAAGGAGCACAATAAAAGATAAAAATTAAAAAACAAAATAAAATCAAAACAAAAGTTAATCGAACAATAAAACTAAAAGGTATAATATTATCAAGTATACTAATATCATTTATTTATCCATGAAGATATCATTCAATTGACAGAATAATTGATTGATCAATAAATTTTGCTTGATGAAATTAATTAATAACCACCAAATGAAAGAATATTTGATTGATCAATAAATTTTTTAAAAAACAAGACCTTCATGAAACTTTATGTGAAAGTGTAATTACAGCAGTACATGTTGTTCGTCGAGTTGTACAATGGCCAGCCGCAGCTGTTAAACAACCACTCCATATTACACTGATTTTATTTGATAATTGAGAAGAAAAAACATCTTGATTAAATATTGCTAAAAGTTTATTGGCTAATTCTTGTCGTTTTTCTTTAAGTTTAAATGTTGATGGAATAAAATTACTGAAACTAATGGTAAATAAGGATAACATCGTTCAACCATACGTGTCCATTGACGCCATAAACTGAAGATATTATTCAATGTGATACTATTTACTATACTAATATCACTTATTTATCTTTAAAGTTTTATAGAATATTAGTACGTGTACGTGATGGTACACTACTTTAATAAACTTCAATAGTATCATTGTCTTCCATTTCCAATTGTCTAGTTTCAATAATATCATTATCTTCCATGTGTAATAGTTATTTAGTTTTCAAATAATTTTAAACATGGAATATTGACTGAACCACATTAGGATATAAATTATCAGTGATTCAATTCTTTCAATAAATTCTATTTGATGAAATATATAACTCGACATTTAGTTGACGGGTGATCCCCAGTATATTGAGTAACTCGACGTTTAGTTAACGGGCGATTTCTAACATAGAATATTTAGTAATAATTTTTTAATATATTGAATAACTCGACGTTTAGTTAACGGGTAGTTTCCAATAGAGAATATTCAGTAATAATTTTTTACAATAACATGTATATAATAAATAATATTGATTATCTCGAATGTACCATAGGTTGAAAGACATTGATTAAGTAAACAATATTCGCTTATTTGTCTTTAAAAATGTAAGGCATAAAACATAATATCATTTCTTTATCTTTAAAGCTATTAACCAGGAAGTCAAAGTTAAAGTCTACATTAAGAAGGTAGAAATCAAAACAAAATGTTACATATCAAAAGTTAAACGTTCAATTTATCTTGTATAAGTTAATTGCCGTTGTAAATTTTTAACATTGCGTGTACCAAGAATGGGTAAGACCTCATTAATCGGAGATTCACAAAAATATTTATCCCAGAGGGCATGGAATTTTTTTGGAAATGTTTTCATACTTGAACAATAAGTAAAATGAATAAGCATTGTCTTACCATAGTCCACTGGTATTTTTTCTTTTATAGGTGTTTCTATAATTTTTTGAAGAATTAAATTATAATTGTTAAAATTTAGTGGTTGATCAATTTTATATTTCAATAATAGATAATTAAAACATTCTTCAATAATTTTATTAGGATATTTATTAAATAATAATGCCAGTCTTAATCTTTCACGGTCATCTAAATAAGCTTGAAAGGTTGAACAGTATCTAATAATACGAAGTAGCATCGTAAAAATTATATTCTTTTTCATATGTAATGGATGTACGCTATTAAACGGCAAATAATATGGTTCATAAGATGGCTTCTGATAAACAGTCGTAATTAAGTAACCATCCTGGTTTTCCATGTAAATCAAGAAAATCAGCTGTTGAACCAATATTCTCTGATAATTTAATATTTTCATCAAAATGATTCCATCTATCAATTTGTTTAAATAAATGTCGGGCAGGCCAATTGATTACTATAAATATATCATCAATATATCTAAAATATAATCCACCGCTATTATTAATTTGCTTTATAATTTGTTGTTCATAAAAGAACATATAACAATTAGCAACAGTAAGTGTAAGTGGAGAACCCATTGCTCCTCCACGAATTTGATGATAAAATTGGCCATCGTAAGAAAAATAATTATTTTGCATAACAAATCGACTTAATCTAATTATTGTTTCAATTTTAAGACCACCAATCTGTTTTAATTTAAGGTGATCTAACATTTTCTTTAATGACAGTACTCCTTCTGTTTGTGGCACCATAGTATAAAGGTCTGTCACATCAATTGTGCAAAATAAAGTTTCTTGACGTATATTAATACTTGACCATTGTTGCAACTGTTTGACTAATTCAAAGCCAGAATTTACAGTTGTTTTTGCAGCCATCTTATCAAATAAAGGTCGAAGTAATTCGTCGAGAAATTTTGATATTTTAATTGTAGGATGTTTGAGATCAGATATAATTGGACGAAGAGGAGTACCAGGCTTATGTGCCTTAGGTAGATAATATAAATGAGCAAGTTCAACTTCATTTGGATTAATACAAAGTTTTTCATATTGTTTTCGGGTAATCCACTTGGCTAATCTTAAATCTAATAAGTATTTATTAGTCCGACGAATCAAATCAGGTAATGGATCTTCAGTACCTAAGCATTTGTAGGCCTTTGTTTTCTCCATATATTCTTCTGATTTTTTGCGATAATCGTCAAGTTCACCAAGATGGAACACTTTGTTTTTATCAGATTTTTGAAGAACAATATTTTTCAAATGAAGCTTATATTTTAAACGTTTAATCAATCGTCCATAATTTTTCTTCTTTTTAATAGTCATTCGAGAATTAATATCTTGAGACTGACTTGATTGGTGTGGGTGTGGGTGTGCGGTGTGGGTGTGGGTGTGGGTGTGGGTGTGCGGTGTGGGTGTGGGTGTGGGTGTGCGGTGTGGGTGTGCGGTGTGGGTGTGCGGTGTGGGTGTGGGTGTGGGTGTGCGGTGTGGGTGTGGGTGTGGGTGTGCGGTGTGGGTGTGGGTGTGGGTGTGCGGTGTGGGTGTGGGTGTGCGGTGTGGGTGTGGGTGTGCGGTGTGGGTGTGGGTGTGTATATTATGTTTAAAGAAACTACGACTATAGTTTCGACCTTTCTCAAGGGTCAAAATCTTCAGGTAGTTTTAGCACTGCATAATTTTATAGATTAAATTGAAAAGAACGAATTCTTCTCACGTTTAATTTGATAAACATAAAGCAAAGCAGAGATTTCTTAAGCATATAACACGGGTGTGTAACAGCTACCATAATCTAGATTTCATCTCGGCTAAGAGAATCGTCAGATGGCTTAATCTATTCTAATTTATTAGCTACTAGTAAAAAATCTACAACGACATATAAGAAATCGATAGAAGAAGAGATAGATAAAAAAACGGTCAAGATAGTGAATAGATAACAACTACAATAATAAACAATAACAATAACAATAATAATAGTAATAATAATACTACTACTACTACTAATAATAATAATAATAATAATAATATGTTGAAGAACAGAAGCTGGAATAAAATGAGCGTTTGCTGGTATATATAAGCTGAATAAAGAAATGGAAGTAAACAAGCAATAACGGAATAAAGCAAGAACACATGAAAATCCAATGAAACTAGAGAGAAAGAGAGAACACATTAGGTTTTCTCTTAGTTTTTCTGTCAAATGCAAGTGTTTCGTCGATTATTTTTTATGCTTTTGTTGGTAGCGTTGAATCATTTTTTCCCATTCATCAGATGCACCTATAGGTTCTTCATTTGATGCTTGACTTTGATCTGGATTTGTTGTCGTTTGATGTGGTCGTTTGTAAAAGTATTCATTTGGACCTAGAATATTTTTTAACGAATAGTAGTCAGTTGTTGAAGAAGTAGAATATTTTGTTTATAAATCTATCGATTACCCATGATATAAATGAAAGCTCTTTCTTTCCAATATTCCATCGTTTTCTTCTGACGATCAGTGGTTGGTTGTTCTAATAATGAGCCTACATCGTCAGGATTCATCAAAACTATGGCTGGTTGTCGAACATTTATTTCTTTTGCGCTTCGATATTTGTCAGTAGCCTTTTAAACATATATGCATAGATATATATATATATGTGTGTATATTCGTAGTCTGTAGAAATGAATGTTTTGCTTACATTTATTTTACACTTTTTTTGTGTTAGTAAATTTTTTTTATTCGGAAAATTCAGTTTACCAAAATCATCCCATGGTATATCACCATAAACCGAATATCGAGCATAATCATTCCATGCGTCTAAATTCCATCGCTCTTGAAAGTAATTAACGCGACCAGGTAATGATATTGCAAATGATGTTTTTCCTGTACCAGTGGGTCCAATTATAATAAGACATTTGGCACGTGATGAACGATTAAATTCTTCTTTGATCCAACGATTTACAGCTTCACCTATATGGGTAAATCAAATAGAAACAGATCAATCTATATCTCTCAGATACAAATAGAAACA